AAGAGATAAACAACATCTACCCACTATTCAAGAGACAATAGAAAGGAAAACAAAAGGCCAGAACATCTCTTCTATCCCATTTTTACTGCTGAAGATTGAAAAATCACACCAATAAAATTTGCTATTTGCTGAATTCTGACAGTGGAATTTGGAGAAATTTCGCACACTGCTGAAACTGTGCTGAAGCCAGGGTCCACATACAGTCGTCTTCCTCTGCCTTTCATTTAGTGGAGTCCTGACTATAATAAACACCTCTAGCAGGCTTACTCCAGTGCTACACAATCTGATGCATGCTTACTGGTTCCTCCTTTGCAGCTTGTAAACAGAAGCAGCACTAAACGTATCTGCTTCAAGCCCAATTCCAAATTTATATTTTAATTATAAAAGAACATCATAAACTTTGGGGAGTGGGCAAAGCAATGCAAGCTAAGTTGGTTTTTGTAAGATTTCCATTTTTCCACTTCAGTAAAAATATTAAGGTTTTTGAAAAGACAAAAATTAATAAAACCATAGGCATACATATAAAGCACAGAGCAAATTCTAAATAATTCAAAGGAAGCTATTTTATACCTACACTTAAGTGTGTTTCCCTGGGGTCAGCTGCCTGTTCATTCGATGGGCTGTTATCCATGGCAGTGTGCAGAAACCGTTCCTCATTCTGGGAAGCGTTAGCTTCTATTTGCAAGGCTTTTGTTCATAGAAAAAGAATTAAAAATGCAACCTCTTCAAAATATTATCCCCTAGCATACATTAATAATACAATTCTTTTCAGCATTTTTAAGTTGGCAGATTTTAGCTAACTAAAAGAGCAGGATCTATTTTGTTTTCCACTAGAACCATTACAGCACCCCTCACTCCATCAACTGTAAACAGGTATACAACAATGCTTTCAGGCACAACACTGTGAACACATCTTGAATCCAGCAAACAAATCTTCCAGCTACAGATCTACTGTGCTTCCCCTACTGCCAAGCAATCTTCCTTCAGTTCAGCAAGGAAGTTTCTTTTGTTGATATTGTTAGATCATCAAAAATCAGAAACCTCTGTAGAATCTCAGGAAAACACCCACAGACCAGTAATAAATCCCAGACTCCATTTTTGTCCAACTCTGCATTATATTTCAATGCTCTCCTACCTTTGTGTTTTAAACTTTCTCTCTGCAAAACACTAGCTATAGGTGTTCGCTGGTGCCAGTGGCCTATGCCTTCAACTTCCCACAGAAGGTCACGATCCCCTGGATACCTCTCAAAGTATTTCTGGCAAGCTGGGCAAGATAAATAGAACTTATTCAGTACACATCTGTAACACAGATTTGTATTTTATTTTGCAAACTTCCCACTCCCCCCCCCCAAAAAAATATGGCAACACTTTTATTTTAGCATTTTCTTTCAAGGGAGCATTAGAAACCTAGCTGTGTCATAAACAGAAGCACAAGAGCATTCTGGAGTTTATGATTTTATAAGCAAGACAAAGCCACCTTTTCAAATAAAAAAACTGATTAGTTTTAGCAGTATCAAGTTAGGTAAAATATCTACTATTTTTTCACCACTTCAGTAGTAGAATCCATTTATAACATTTTGGAGACTGTGAAGGCCATCTTTCTCAGGAAAGCTACAATTCCTCAGCATGAATCTGTTGGGGGCACACAACTGAAGTCAACAATAGTTGATAAGATCAGAGTATGACACCCTGTTTTCTCTCTCCTAAATAGAGAAGGGATACAAAGGTCTGTCCTGGTCGCTTATATCTGTTTTTAAAGCCACAGCTGGCTCTTGGACTGCCGGATGTTCACCTTTTCATAATATACCAGTGAAAACAGTGCAGAATATAATACCTATAATACTTCAGATGTTAAAACTCAGGAAACTCTTAAAACCTGTTCTTGAAAGACTACAGGCCTTACTTAAATTTCTCCAATATTTGTCTCTTGTATGCAAAAGGATGGACTTGAGGTTAAAATAAGTAATAGTAGCAGGAATGCAAAAAATGTGTTATGGTAGCTGAGGTATATAATATCCATTCAAAATATCAATCGCCACTCCTAAATTGTAAACAGTGAACATTCTGAAGTATCTTTCAGGTTCTGCAGTATATAATTCTTACACTGGCCTCCAATTCAGAGGTAAGCAGGAATATTCAACGAGTAAAACCTACATTCACATTCAACATTCCATTCCTTCTGAAACTAGCTGCTGAGGCTCCGAAAAGTGGAACCCACAGGCATGCCTACAGAAAGAAGTACGGAAAAAGAAATGAATCTGAAAACTCCACCCAGTTAATCAAAGAGAGGGAACACAAAGCACGTACTTTATTTGCCCAAGAGAAAGGGACATCTTATTCCTTTCCTCCTTCTTTCTTGCCAAATTACTTTGTTTTTCCTCTAAAAATTTTACACTGTGTTAGATAGTCCACACTACAGGAAAGTCAACATCTTTCAAATAAAGCTGCATAACTGCCGCAGATTGTGAGTTTATGAATAAATGCATTATACTTTTTTATTTGCACCAATGCCACTAGACTGTCTAAAGGTCTTACCAGCATGCATGAAAGATGTCAGAGGGAACCTCAAGCCAAGTGCATCTTCTGTGAAAGAATCCACAAAATCTTCCAGCATCAGTAGCCCAAAGTCTTTGCTCTGATGCTTCTTCCTCACGAACATTGTGTCCAGGACAGGAAGCTGATAGCTCTGAGTAAGAAAGGCACTACATATGCTCCCTGCAAACACAACAGCCGATTCTAATTAGCATTTCAGAAGGATTCATCTTTACATACCTGAGACATTTCATAATAAGTTTTCATATATACATACCAAGGGCTCTGGGTAACAATAAAATAAAGTACATAAAGCTTTAAAAGTATTAAACTCTAAAAAGCTTGATTAAAAATATATTTTTGAACTGTAATGACAACAGTTGGCTCCATATTGTCCCTGCAGTCCATCACCATAGTGTACTGTCCATCACATACTCTTAGATCATTATAAGGGGATCTTTTGTCATTTCCACTGGTCCTGTCCTGAATATTGTGGTAGTAACTCAAAATATTATGCACATGACTCAAGCATAAGCCATTTAAGAGTTTGTAGGCATAGTGAGCACTCTAATTGCAGTTAGATAGTTTTTACTTGGTTCTTCACATTCTTCAACATTTCATAATCTCTCTAAAATTAGAATAATCTGAAAGTGTGGAGTCCTTGGGGCTTTTTGAGCTTGGTTGTTTGCTTGCAGACTTTTCATTACCCAACTAGGTAACACCATCAGTGCTGGTGAGTGTGGGGTTTGCTCCCTGTTTGTATACAGTATATAAACAGGGAGCAAACCCCACACCCACCAGCACTGATCATGTTACCTAGTCAGGTAATGAAACATCTGCAAGCAAACAACCAAGTTCCGAGAGCAACAAGGACTCCACAATTCAACCCTGAGCTACATATATTCTCTTCTATTGGAATAACCTGAAAGACCAGATTATGCACAATGGAATCATTCAACTTTTTCTTTTTAAAAAATTCCTTTTATGCCCAGGAACAAATTTTTGTACTCCCTTAATTTTGCCAAGAATCAGCTTTTTCATCTTCTCATTGCTACCACAGCTAGTCCAGATCAGGCTTTGATAAATGGCATGTATACAGATGGCAACCCTAGATGCAATCAGGGGTTGGCAAACTTGGAGCAAGTAGCATGACCTACTATGGAATCTGAACCCTAACCCTGTTTCCAGTCTGCAAGTACTTTAATGACAAGGAGCAGGTTAGGCAAAAACTCCACTGACAGGAATGTACAATTTTAAAAATAGGCAAACCACTCCCCAACCTGTCTAAAAACTCTGCATGAAATTATTAAAGAAGGCCCAAATATCAGCAACAGGGACAAAAGAATCCTCTGACATCTGCTTTTTACCCTCCCCCAAGGTTTGGCAAGTCACAGCAGAAGGGAGGCCCATCTGGCCAAATATCAAGTTTCCAAGAGCTGTCAAGGCCATATAATTTGTTGCACTTGGGAACGGATTTCCTTGGAAATTAATCCAGAGACAGAAAGAGAACAAGTGTGCAAGCAATCATTACTAATCCACCAAGGTTCTTTAGACATTCATTACATGATATTTTTAAAACTATTGCAATTTTAAACTGAACAAAGTTTTCTGATTACAGTAAGAAAAAAGAAAAGGAAGATAAATCTGCATTGGAGTCCTCAGTTAAACTAAATTAATTTGAAGTCCATGTGAGAACAGCAATAAATGAACAAAGACACTGGTGATCTATCATATCTATTAGCAATCTGTAAGGAAAGAGGCAAATCAGTCTATCAGTATAAATAAAATTGAGTCTAAGGATGTCAAGAATTAGCAAAACAGTTTGGTGACATCAGACTCACTCAACTGTATCTATCCAGGTAAACAGTCCAGCAACAACACAGATTGAGAGCTGAGGAGGTAACAGTGGCTTAGTCTGTAAAAATTTAATTTCCTTCTCTAATTTCCTGTTTCATTGATTTCCAATTTTAGTGTCCATATTTGGCACTGGAAACTGAAATAAATTAACATTCTCCTGATTTATAACATATCTTGTTACCCAGCATCTCCTACTATGAACCAACATGATTAATCACAGATACAATATTGAGGAGCTTAACATCCATGCTGAGACCGCCCTGAAAATCTGCAGCCATCCATGGCAGCTCAGAACTTTCCATGCTGTCAGACTGAATGACAAGTGCTGTATCAGTGCACAGCTGCAGTGAAATTTTATTGGGTGTGGGCCAATAAAATGAAACTCAACAAGAAATATGTAAACACTTTTTCTGAACCAGGAAACTTGAAGGATCACCTGTTTCTATACATGGTTGTTTTCTGTTTTTTGTTTTTGTTTTTGTTTTTTTTGGTAATAAAGCTGTTTCCTAGGTTCCTAGAACTATGTAATTTCAATAAAGACAAATTTACAAGTTTATGCAACCTTCAGTGATAATAGTCAGGTTCATAAGCAGTTTCACCAACAGCAATCATCACCATCACCATCACCATCTCTACCACCAGCCTCCTAATAAATATTCTTTTCCATATCTTACTGGATAGGTAGAAGTTTTCTTTTGCTATATCCTAGATAAAAATGCAAGTGAATTGGGAAATAGTTCTTTGCAAGTGGAGTTAAAAGATGGACTTGTTTATTTCTGCCTCATGTTAAATGACATTTTCCATTTTAAAGAGTAGTCTTACCTGGCAGCTTAATAGAATAAAACCCAATGGCCATTCCTTTCTTCCACAGAATTTTTGCATAATCGTGGCTACCATGACAAAGGAATGGTACCTCATTTTTCTCAATTTCTTGTTTACGATAAATTATTCTGTTGAGCACATAAAGAACCACTCTCTCTCCAATTGATTTCACCTACAAAAACACATATAAGTTAGAAAAGATAGCAAGAAGTCTCATATATTTAAAATCCACATTTATACTTCCAAAAGAATGGAAGCAGAAAGAGCTATTATTTTTTATTATGATTTTAGCTATTAATTAATTTGCTTACATTTCTAAAGTACCTCAAACAGTTTAGGAGAAAGTAGATATAAATGTCTATTTAGTAAAATAAAAATACACACACCCAAAAATGAGGAATGGGATAAAAACCCAGTAAGGCAATTCTACATTATGAACTTGATGTGAAGTGGCTTGAGAGTGAGGATACAGGATAGATATAAATCCAATTAATAAATAAACATTACATCTGTCTGAAAGGAGTTATAAGAACTATAATGTTGGCATAGGACTTCTAATTCTGCTGAGTCCAGAATTCAGTGAAATAAAATAATTTGAGTAAAATTATCTTGGATTATACAATACAAGAATAGGAAACCTATGGTTGAACTGCAAATCCTAGCAGCCCTAACCAGCATGACCAATTATGAGAGATGCTAGGAATGTAAAAACAACTGCAGTCATAAATCCTTATCCCAGGCATTGTCCATACTATAAGCACATAAACAACTTATTAGTACAATTCAAGATGCTTGACATAGCTTAAATGAATACATGGGCAATTTTATTCTGAGTAAATTAGAATTTTACACTTTGAATATGCCAGACATTTTCTCTATTTATGTTAAGCTTTAGATTTCATTATCAAACTGTTAGTTTACTATAGCTACAACTTTATTTACCCGCAGAAGTCCTTCTCTAGAAGGAGATGATGTTCTCAAAATATCATCAATAGTCCACCACTGGTCAGCCAGGAACAAGGCAACAGCTCATAGAAAAAAAGAAGAATATAAAGTAAGAATGTGTTCAGCTTTTCAATTCTAATTATGCCTAATAAATATCTTTGGTTATAGGTGTATCTATTTCACATTAGTTACATTATTTTTATTCATAATTAGAATACTAAATGCATGTTCAATGCATTTATTTCTTAGAAAGCTAGAATCAGTCTTATTTTAGAAGCAGTCACTTCCCAGCTGGGTCGTCCCATCATATGTTCATTTTCAAAAGATCTGTGGGTTCTACATACAAGAGACATCTTCTGAACAGAATGGCAGCCAAAAACATATTGGGTTCCACCTCAATTTCTAAATTAGCAAACTTAAAGACACTATTTACTTGAATAAGTAACTACTTACTACTTACTTGAGTCAAGGGAAGCCCTCACTAGCTATCAGTCCCTAACTAAAATTAGGGAAAGGAATATACAGAGAAGGAAGATTGCCAGTCTTCACAGTACCATGATAGCAACAAAATGGCAACAAATGATGGTCTGCTCTTGTAAGAACAAATCACAATTAACCTTGAGTTCACAAATGACCTACTTTTTGTGTATGAGAGGAAAATACCTGAACCTTCCATCCCAGGCTTGTTCTCACTGTAATTACCTGTTCCATCAAAACCTGGGAAATTGTCCTCTGACTCAATCAAGATATTCCAGTTCAAAAGAACTTGCAGCAGAAAATTTAAACCTTCTATTCCGGTGTAGGAGAAGGAAAGTGGATGAACTTAAGACTCCTGCTTGCAATATCCAGTCATGATTTTCTGTTACACCAGAAGCAGGCCTCTCTTTATTCCCATACAATAGGAAACTGTTTCAATTCATAAAATATTGAGACATTGATTGAGGCACCATTTCCTCCAACTATCAAAGATGTCTGCTGAACCTATCCATATCAGAGTGAGAAGTTATGTCATCTACAGCAACACTAGACCACCCTACAGCATGCTGAAACAGGTCAGAAGTTGCTCAAACATTATAAAACTGGAGGGAAGAAGCTATTCACACCAAAAGGTTTTTTGCCACAGTTTCAGTTGAATCCCCATTTTATCATGATTCCTACAGTACTTCTAAACCATAATTACTTTAGACCTTTAAAGCAAAAGCAAGAAATAACATAGGAACCAAAAAAGGAATGACTCAGATCAGAATACTACAAGTGTTACAATTTAAAATGTAAGTGAAACCTGCAAGTGAATCCTCTGGTGCAAATAAAGCAAGGACTTTGTGTCTTTCTTCTCCGCCATAAAGGGGAATGAAGCCTACTGTTGACAAACAAATTGGAACCTAAGAGAGAGAAAAAAAGTTTATCATTGCTTACGTTTATTCCTTTGGATCTGTGAATTGCTAACACAGGATATTCTTGGACCAAGAGACACTAAAGACAGGGACTCATGCCTTTGTTATCTCGTAGTTAAACTTCTTTATGTGGAGCTGCTCTTGAAGGTGACTAGGAAGTGGCAGCTGATACACAATACAGTGGCTTGATTTTTGGCTGCCATTAGTCAATTTAGCAGAGTATTACCTACTCTGCAGGAACCATCGGCTGCCAGTAGGCTTCTATGATGAACTTAAGGTGTTGGTCATCATATGTATGACCCTTTATGGCTTAGGTCCTTGTTGCCTTGTTGTCAGGGACATGCCCACCCTACACAATCTAACAGGGTAACAATCTGATTACCCACCTCCAAAGGACTGGGGGGCTGGGACCCAAGAATGACATTCTCAGCAGTAACCCCTCTATGTGGAACAGCTTGCCTCCAGAGATCAGATGCACCCCTATTCTGATGTCTTTTCACAAAATAGTGAAGTCAGTCCACTAAAGGAGGGAAATATGCCTAACACTAGCAATAATTTATTAACAATATTTACTGATTTTAACTGGTTTTGTTTTTTATGAATACTTTATAGATATTTATTGTAAGCATCTAAAATTGTACAAATAAAGAATATTGTAAATACTAAGATAAAATAGCAATGACACCAATCTTACCTTGATATTATCAACAAGAGAGAGGTATTCTGGATTTTCTGGATCTCCACACCTAAGTTCAGATAGATAATCCTCTCCAGAGCTCTCAAGATCTTCATGGCTGTAGTTATCCAGGAGATCCACAGGGAAGGCCATCCCTTTGGGAGAGTTCACAAACACATATAAAATTATTGCTGTAGTCATTACATCTTAGGAATCCAAACTGAATTTTTAGAAGTTGCATGTATTTCAGAGCAGCCTTTCCCAAACTGATTAGTCTTCAGATGTCTAGGAATTGCAACGTTCTGAGCCATTCAGGCTAGAATTTTGAAACTTAGTTCCAACATATCCTCAAGGTGCGACATTGGAGAAAACTGCTTGTGAATAAAAAATTGCATATCATCCCACTCATTTTTTGTACCCCTTCAGAACATGTTATGTAGAGTACACACATTCAGCAGCTTAGAATTCCATGAGAATATACAGGTAGTCCTCAGTTTACAACAGCAATTTGGACCGGAATTGCCACTGCTAAGTGATACGGTTGTAAAGCACGATGTCATGTGACCATGCCACTTAGCAACGGCAGTTCCGGTTGCCGTCATTAAGCGAGGACCTAACATGGCCACGACTTTCGAATTCCTGCTGGCTTCCCCATTGACTTTGATTGTGGGAAGCTGGCAGGGAATGTCAGAAATTGCAATCACATGACTGTGGGGACACTGCAATGGCTGGAACTCCAAGGACCAGTTGTAAGTCCCCTTGTTCAGTGCTGTCGCAAGTTTGAATGGTCGCTGAATGAATGGATGTAAGCCAAGGACTACCTGTACCAGGGAAGAGGAAGAGCTGCACCTGGATAGAGACCAAAACATTAACTACATCAGTGACTCTATGACTGATCCTCTTGTTTTGAACAACATATTCCATCTGTACCATCCATTAACTAGATTCTTCATTTAACCTGCACTTACCAAATGGGAAAACAATTAAAATAAACCAATTATCATCTCTTTAATTGTCCTTGCACAAGGAATTAAATCTATCTTTAGAGTTTATTCTATCAGAATGTATTTCTAGATCAGGCAGAAAAAGCATTTAACTCACACCATACAACCCAATTTTCAACCAACATATACCTAAGGCAAGGATAATCAGACCAAAATCATTAACTGAAGCCAATGCAAAAATACATGCACACAGAGTTGAAGAATTCATGCTAAGCTTCATAACACAACAGAAATTACAGATCTTCTATGTAAAAATGCATTTGTTATCTCAAACTTTAAAAAAAAAATTTAGTAACATAATTTAAGCTTAGGGGAAAGAGAGTTCTTTTGTTGCTGCTATTATTAGGCAATTGGGAATCATCTTTATTTAAATCTACATCCCACCTACCTCCATTTTATGATTTAGAAAGCAAAATCAAATGTTTCCCCTAATCCCCAACAGTTATAGTGCAAAATTAGTTACTGCATTAATTTAATTTAAAAGCTCTGAAAGGGGGCATAAAAGAAGCTATGCCTTGGGCAAAGATGCTTTAAGGTACTCAGACAGATCTACATTCATTCTCTTGGATGATCCACTGCATCTTTTTTTGGAGCTCTTTTATATCCAGTCTTTCCTCTAAGGAGCTCACAGCAGCTTATATGAAATTGCCCTTCATCTTATCCTCACCAACAACCAGGCCAGCAGGCAGACAGTGTTTGCTAAAAGCCTTCCAATGTGCTCCAGAGTTAAATGGGGACATTTTTCAGGGTCTTCCCAGTCCTACAATAACATTTTAATTACTGCACCACATTGCCTTTGCATTATGCTGTAAATACATTTGGTTATGACAATCGATGCCTATGGAGGTTGGGGATGATAAGCCATGAAAAATTAAAGTCACGCCATCCGCATTTTTAATGCAACCTTCCATCTAGATATTTGCTTAGAATAATTTCCTGGAATTTGGTAATTTAACAAAAAAAATTGGGTTAAGGCTCAAATTTGCTAGAAAAGTAATTATATTCTGCTTTCCAAAATTTAAGCAACAGACAAACGTTACTAAGTTTGCTCTTCACCCTGACAGTTGTTCTATACCATTGCATATGTTACAACAGTACAACACAACACTGTTTCATGTGGAGAAGCAACAGCAATATTCTCTTGCTCTCCATCAATCATTGTTTACTTGAAATACATCATACCATTTTATACTGTATACCATGTTTTCTTAGAAAAAAATGAAATACAAAACAAAATAAAAACAATAGTATATGTAAAAGCAACTACACAGCAGTCAGCATCAAACACATCAAAAGATAGAAATGCCTGGATAAAGGGGTAAGTCCTGAAAAATTAAGAAACACGTGTTCAGGCACCTCCAAACCAGAGTTCTAGAAAGGCCACAATAACAGAGAAGGCCCTCCCGGTGGGTAACTGCCTGCATCTTGGAGCACAGTAGCAACTCCACCTGAAGGGCTTTCTCTAAAGATATACAGACATGTTCAGACATACCAGGAGAGCCTTTCCCGCAAAGAACAAGAAAATGCAATGGGACTCTTTGCCATAACAAAAATAACAAACAAAATGTGCCAGAGATGTTCCAGATAATATGCACCTCATTTCTAAAAAGGTTACCAAGCTAGGATTAAAAAGGAAATTTGGGACTGGATGAAGCACCATGTCCTTTATTTCATAACTATGTTATGAAATAAACACAGTAAACTGCACACTCACACACAAACACACACACATATGCTTGGCTCTTCTCCCAAATAGCTTACAGCAGCTGAAGTACAATTCTCAAATACCCTTTCATCTACCCATCATATATTTTCAAAGGTATTATCTACCAATTAAAGTCACTAAAATGGTTAATAAGTTAAGGAATGCAAGCAAATTTAAAGATAAAATATGTTTATACAAAATGATTAAAGCACAAAAAATAAAAATTGACATTTTAACAAAAAAGAGGCAGAATGTCACAGCTGAAGTTTCTATCATGATACAACTGTCTCAAAAAAAAAAAGGCAATCATCTTACACAACATAAAGCTTCTAGGTCATTCTTCTTATTAAGAATAAACAGAAAACAGAATGTAGAACATGAGCTGCTTATACGCACAGTATTACAATCATTTTCAATTACCGAAATGTTCAGGAAGAAGAAATGAACTAGGAATCACTCATCTGCATTTCAGGAGCTCAGTCTAAAGTTCTTGCTCTATTGCTGTTTCTTTCATGAACCCCCCCCCCCAAAAAAGGCAAAAACATTGAAGGTTTCAGAAAACAAAATGATTTGTTGGATTTATTGTGATGGTCCTTTGTCTACAGAAGAGACAGGGCATCCTACAGTGGGAATCTCCCTCCCATTTGCCCTAGAGGCAAAGCTAGAAAACTGTGCTGTTTTCATACAGTGGAGCCAGGAAATTCTACAGTGGCACATACCAAAGCTGTTCCTGAAGGTGGGATCTTACAACTGTAAGGCCCCTAGTCCCCCCTGGGAACTATTTTCTGTAATGCTCTCCTGTTGAAAGAAGCTTCAGCCAAGGCATGACAGTTAAGCTTATAATAAAGGAAGATATGGAGGACTATGTGACACCCCTACAGTTGCTGTCTGCCAGAGGGCATTTAAGTGAGGGACAGCTAAAGTGGCCGTCCTAGTCAACAGTGCCACAGTTCCTTGTGGGGCAGGTTTATTTGAAGTCTTATATGCTAGTTTGTTACAAGCCCTGATCCATCTGGAGATTATGATTGGTAAGATTTTGAAGCCCAAATAGGTATGTCAGAAGATAAAAAGCTAAGCTCCACTTTTTTCTACTCAGGTAGATCTTTTGATGGCTCATCTGACATCCAGTTTCTGCCATACTCTAATTGGGAACTGGGATTGGGATAGAAGGGGAGGATCCCTGGTGAAAAACAACTTCACTTTAGTTATGATGGTTGGGCCTAGCACAGAGTGATGATGTCCAGCTGGATGATACTGAACACTTTCTTGGCTAAGAGTGCCCATAATTCTGACATCCACCTGACAGGGTTCTGGCTACTAGAAACACTATTTTCCAAGTCAGATGCTCTAAGATTAACCTCTCCAAGGTTTCAAACAGGGCTTAAGTTAGGGTTTGAAATACTATCTGAAGATCCCATGATGGATACCAGTAGATAGTGAGTCATCTAATAGGGAGATCCCTGCTCAGGAATATCTTGACATATGCCATGAGAGCTCCTTGGTTCCCACTACTGAAATCTAGGAGAGGGCCAACACTTGTCTGTGAAGGGTGCTTGGTTGGAGTCCCTTGTTGAGGCTTTTCTATAGGAGAGCAAGGACTTCAGTGGTAGAAGCTGATGTGACATTTCTTTTCTTTGGCCCATCTGCAGAAACTCACACTACAGAGGTTCCCTCCCTTTTGCCCCATGTGAATTCTTATATGTGAGGTGTGGCTCCAATGGTCTGTATGGTTTTGCTACAGTACCCTTGGCTGACAAGATGGCCCCACTCAATCTCCAGACATATAATTGTAACCATTTGGAATATGGGTGGTTGAATTTCCCCACAGCTCTGCAGGTCAGGTGATACCAGGAATCTCCAAGGGCAGGATGTCAACAGGTTGTCCAGGTCCAAGTACCAGGGTCTCCTGGGCCAACTGGGTGCTCTTAGACTCATGTCCAGGCCCTAAACTTAGGAACCAGTAGAAAGGCATATAGTAGGTCTAGGTTCAGGTAGTGGAGTGTCCATTGTCCCTGTTCTCAGGGTTCTGATGCATGAGATTAATCGCACACCCTTGTTACTGGTAGGGATTGCTGTCCTTCAAAGATCAATGTAATTTGCTCAAACACACTGGGGTTGAGGTTCCAGGTCTTCATAGCTGAATCAGTCTAACACTATGTAGACACACTGGAAATGACTTGCCATGACAGCTGGTGTGTCTTTCTGGACTGACATCGAGATTAATATGAGATATTTGGGGTCTTTAACTCTCCCTAGGACAATCTCTGCTTCTGGGTCCCAGAATCTACTTTGTATGCAGTAGGAAATGGGAGGTATAACCTAATGTTCTGCTGCCTTTGCTTTAATGTTTTGTTTTTGCTGCTGCTGTTAGAGATAGGCTTCCTTTTAAACTTAGACCTCATCTAGGCACTTTCTGAACAGCTTGTGAGATTTGGATTTAGAGTTT